TCCCGTAAAGATTTACACCCTCGGAAACCCTGTACAGGGTCGCTATGGGTCGGACCCGACTCGATGGCACTTAACAACAACAACAACATATATTTATTTATTTTGCTGCTGTAAGATCAGCACTGGACTCCTAACCACAGAGTTGATGGTTCAAACCCCCCAGCCATCCCTTGGAAACCATATACAGGGTCGCTATGGGTCAGAACCAACTCCTCTAGAATAGTTTAAACCAACTCCTCTAGAATAGTTTAATCAACTTCATTTCTTAACAAAATGGGGCTTCTACACACCTTTAGAAACAGGAACCAGAATTAGCATGGGTGCACTGTAATCTTTTTTATCGGCCATATGTGCTGTTTCTTTTGAGAACTGACACCAATTCTTTCTCACAGCCTTTCTTTAAATCATCTGACATGATGTACCACATTTTAAGAATGGTGGTTTCTAGCTGGTGGGGCTGTAGGTGATTCATTTCTTTTTGCTTATCTGTGCTTTCTGACTGTTTCTAGAGTGAACACACACCTTCGTTACATTTACAGTGTTGCTGGTTATCTTGTTGAAATGAAACGCTAGCATGCTATGTAACATATTTTGTTGTATATTTTGAAACATATTATGAGAAACTCAGGTCTGAGGCACAATCTTCTAGCTTTTCCTCATGCATACATACACACATGCTTTGACTGCAAATGTCATTGCAATTCTAGAGAGTGTGGGGCTGTAGGGCTGAACGAAGTGGCCTGTGACCTTGAAAGTAAATGCTCTGTTCCTGCTCCTGATGACTAAAACAATGGCAGTCTTTCAGTCTGCTGGTATGACCTGCCAGAGCTACAACAAATGTCAATAATGTGTTTGCACACACATGCAAACATTCATTCTCCTTCTCACTTGTTCAATATTTGCTGAGCACCATGTATCAGGCACAGTTTTAGACACTGGGGATAGTTCCCTGAACACAATGAAGTTGCTGCCATCATGGCGTTCATGTTATGAGGAAAATTAAAGCAGGACAAGATTATTGGGGTTAGTTGCCATTGAGACACATCCGACTCATGGTGCCCTCAGGTGTGCAGAGACGTGGCTCCACAGCCAGGCTTGTCTTGTGAGGCACCTCTAGGTGGATGCTAACTAACAACTGTTGCCTAGTGTCACCCAGAAACTCCTCAGAAAAAACTAGTGAGCTGGACAGAAATGCTGTTTTAAGTAGTATGATCAGAGGAGAAGAGGTGGCATTGGAACAGAGTCCAAAGGTCCATGCGTTGATGGACATCCTGCAGGTCAGTATGACCGGAGCACAGCCCACAAGAAAAATGGGATCTGAGGCTTAAGGCAGCCCACGGTCAAGGTTACTTAATGACCTCGTAGGTCATGGTAAGAACTCTAGACTTTACTCTAAGTTTAATAGGAAACCACTAAAGATGTTCTAATGCTGTTCTTTGTTGCATTTTTCCCCTAAGGAAGTCACATGACTAGGCTGATGTTTTTATAAGATCACTTTGTCTGTTCCTGGTACGGCGATGTGGGTTAATGCGCAGGACTGCAAAGTTGGTGTGAACCGCAAGTTCGGCAGTTCAAGCTCACCACCTGCTCCTTGGAAACCCTATACAGGGCTGCTATGAGTTGGAATTGACTCTACAGCACTTACGAACAACCACAAGGTTACACAGACTCTTTGGGGCAAAAGTGGAAGCAGGGAGATTAGATAGGAGGCTCAGGAGGGCTACAGCAGTAGTTTGTACGAAGGTGACAGAAGTAGAGGTAGGAAAAGTAAGTGGATTTAGAGTACATTTAGAAGTAATGTGGATTAAGAATACATTTGACAGGCTGGAAATAGGATATAAGTGAGAGAAGACTCGAGGAACTTCTGGCCCAACACTATGAACATTAACAATTTGGTGAATAGGGGGAGAGTAGACTCAATGACCCCATGACAGTCTGTCATACTGTGGTCGTTTTCATGTTGCTGAGATGCTATAAGCTATAGCACTGGTGTTTCAAGGACGAGCAGGGTCATCTCGTGGTAGACGGGCTTCTGTGGAAGTTCCAGACCAAGACACACAAGGAAGAAGGACTAGGTAGATCATTTCTGAGGAATTAACTCCTGAAAACCTCACGAATAGCAGTGAAAACATTTGTCTGTTATAATGCCACAAGATGAGCTCCTCAGGTTGAAAGGTACTCCAAATGGGACTGGGGATGAGCTGGCTCCTCAAAGTAGAGTTGACCTTAGTGATGTGGATAGAGCAAGGCTTCCAGGACCTTCATTTACTAACAGCTCAATAAGAAAAAACTGTAAACCTTCATTAATAATCAGAAGGTAGAATATATGAAGTATGAATAGAGGAAATTAGAAGTTGTTAAAATCATATGGTTTACTATGCCAGGAATGACAAAATGAAGAGAAATGGTTTTGTATTCAAATGGAACATTTTATGACCTACCTTAACATATAATACTGTCTGTGACAGGATGATATCTATAAGCCTACAAGAAGAGCAGTTAATACAACTATTATTCAAATTTATGAACCAACCACCAAAGTGAATGATAAAGAAATTGAAAAATTCTACCAGCTTCTTCGGAGTCCTGATGTGACGCTGTGGGTTAATGTGCCAGACTGCAAAGCTGTTTGACCTGCAAGGTCAGCAGTTCAAGCTCACCAGCTGCTCCTTGGAAATTATATACAGGGTCGCTATGGGTCGGAACCGACTCGATGGCACTTTACAACAACAACAACAACAACAACCAGCTTCTTCAGTCTAAAACTGATTAAACACATGATCAAAATGCATTGAATAATAACTGGTGACTGCAATGAAAAAGTTGGGAACAAGAGGAGGGATTGGTAGTTGGAAAATAGGGGTTTGGTGATAGAAATGATGTAAGAGATTGCATGATAGAATTTGCAAAACCAATGATTTCTTCATTTCAAAAACCTGTTTTCAACAACATAAACTGCAAATATATATGCTGACCTCACCAGATGAGATATAGAGGAATCAAATCGACTACATCTGCGGAAAGAGACGACAGAGAAGTTCAATATCATCAGCCAAAACAAGACCACAGGTTCATATGCATGTTCAAGCTGAAACTGAAGAAAATTAAAACAAGAACAAGTTCACAAGAGCCAAAACATGATCTTGAGTATATGCCATCTGAATTTAGATGCCAGCCATCTCAAGAATGGATGTGGCAATCCCAAAATCAGACAAGTTGTGGGATGACATCAAGAACATCATGCATGAAGAAAGCAAAAGGTCATTAAAAAGATAAAAAAGAAAAGACCAAAGTGGATGTCAGAAGAAACTCTGAAACTTGCTCTTGAACATAAAAGTAACTAAAGCAAATGGAAGAAATGAGGAAGTAAAAAACTTGAAGAGAAAATTTCAAAGGGCAGTTTGGAAAAGACAAAGTAAAATATTACAATACAATGTGCAAAGTTCTGGAGTTAGGAAATCAAAAAGGAAAAACATGCTCAGCATTTCTCAAGCTGAAAGAACTAAAGAAAACTTGCAAGCCTCGACTTGCAATACTGAAGAATTCTATGGGCAAATGGAGTCCTGGGGTGGTGCTGTGAGTTAATGCACTGGACTGCAAAGTCAGTTTAAGCTGCAAGGTCAATGGTTCAAGCTCACCAACTGCTCCTCAGAAACCCTATACAGGATTGCTGTAGGTCAGA